ACCTTCTGACGGTGTCTGCCTCCGCGCACAAAAAATGAGATGGGCATCGCTGCCTACGCCGACGGCCAGAGGCCCGCGCATCTACATTTTTTCGCCTGACCCCATCAGTGCCGACCCAACTACACCACCACGCGCATGCCTCGCGGCGGATATGCGCAGCAGCAAGAAGGTTTCGGTCATCCCTTGAGGGTGAGTCTAGCCCTGCTCGCCAGAAAGACCCCCCCCTTCACTACAACCCATGTCTAAGCAAAAGCTTGTCGAGGGGCGAGGGGAAGAAGGGAGAAGTAAGGGAGGGTGCGACAGTTCAAAGGAGTAAGAAATGCCTTTTAAGAAAATGGACGATTCGGCTGGCCGTTCGATGTAAAAAAAGGGATTGGGCCTGGACCCGATTTTGACGTTTCTTATCTCCGGGCCCGTGCTGTATTGGGTTTTTATTGGGTTTGGGGGGTTTGTGGAGGACACCTGTCGGGAGTATAACCAACCATGAGTGCATATACAAAGTGTAGGAAGATATAGCTCCATCGGGGTATCTTGTCACTGGGAGAGTGACAAGAAACGCACCGTCGGAGATTTGTCTCTTCCGAAGTCCATGGCCACTTGCCGAAAGGAGAAGCGGAGAGTCTTCGACTCTCCTCTCCCTCTGCTCTCTCTGGCCACTCTTTCTTTCTACCCTCTTCTCCTCGTTTACATATCACGAGAGGAAATAGCCTTCCCCTGGCAGTGGGATAATACTGCCAAGGCACCGGCCTCTGTCTCCAACAGTAGCCAGGGTCCATATTGGTGTCGACTAGAACACGGCTCTGCCGTGACTACTGTAGCGAGGAGAGGAAGAAAAATAAGAAACGACGAGAAAATGACGAAAAGCTCCTCGCAGCGCAAGAAAGAGCTTCGCGAACAAGTCAAGGAGGCGGCAGCACTGGTAGCTGAAAAAGATGCGGCGCTAGCGAACCAGGAGCGGGAGCTCGAGGAGCTGCGGCGAAAGCTCGCCGGTACTGTCCCCCCGTCGCTGTCGACCTCTACCCCACCGGGAAGGGGCACCCCCTCGGAGCGTGTGTNTCCGGATAGCCAGAATAGTGATTACAGGCGTAGCAACCCTGTCGCACCCTAGTCGGCATCTACTCCGGATAGCCAGCACAGCACATACAGGCCTAGCAACCCTGTAGCACTGTCTACACCTCCACTGGCGCATTTTTC